ATTTGGAACACATTAGATGGCTGAATGGTGAAATTTAAAATTAAATTAAAGTTTACTAGTCCAAAAAAGTAAATTTAAAGTTCAGGAACTTAGTTGAGAGAAATTAAAGTATAGTTACCCAATTGAATTTTCGCTAAAAGTTTAATGACCGCAAATGAAATTAACCCGATTATAAGCATATTTATAGATAAGAACTGATAGTAAATATAAATTACATGTATTATATCCTTGAGTCATGAAAAAAAGAGAGAGATGAATTAATGATTTTTTAATTTTTAATTATTACAATATATAGTTTTTTTTTTTTAACGATACAAAGAGATATTATTGGTGTCCTATATGATACGAGAGAGATTTTGATGATGAAGTGGACCATGCTTTCATTGACCAACTTGCATTCTTCCCTTTTCCTTTCCTTTATTTTATATTATTTTGAATAAATTACTATTAATATTTCTTGTATCAATCAATAAACAACGTTCATACTTATGAAACCGCCAATAATTGAAGGAAAAAAAGTAACACATTGTGAAGTTATGAGTTTATTACAAATTATTTGTATAGTACCTATCATGAGTGAAGGCATTATTACTTGGAAAATGCTGGGTGTATAGGGTGAGTGTTTGTATATGCAGAGAATTCCCACCGACAACTTACAAGGAGATAATATTTTTTACATTTTCATTGAGGTGGTCCTGCATGGGAACCCTCCTCGTGTGAGAGGGTGTAAGGGTGTACACCTAGCATTCCCTTGTTACTTAGCTTGTCGATATACTTAATTAACCTATAGAGTCATACATAAGAAAATTTAATATAATTAAATGTGTATATATATCAATGTGATCAATCGATAGCAATGACCCTATTACATAAATGAATTCTCAAAAATCTTCTAGCAATTTGACAACTATTAAAATGATTTTTTTTTTTTGGAAAATGAATTTTAGAATAATGAATTTTCGAAGAATGTGTGATTAAAAAGTAGCACACATTTATCTACCATTAAAATAGGAAAATGAGTTTTGGAATCGGAATAGTGAATTTTTGAAGAATGTGGTTAATAAGTAAGAGATTTTTTTTGGTTTATGTTTAAAATATTTTATTATGAGAATGTGTGGTTGGAAATGAGTTTGAGGAAAAAAGAGTTTTAAAATAATGGTAGACAAACAGGGGTATAGGAAAAAAATTTAGGTTTATGTTTGTAATATTTTATTATTAGAATGTATGATTGAAAATGATTTTTTTAAAAATTGCTTTAATGGAAGTCAAATAGGATTAGTCAAGTGGTGAAACATGACTTGAGGCTACGAAGTAAGAATTTATCATAATCTTTTTCAAACTTCAATAAACTTCTCCCGTAATAGGAGAAACTTCGAGATCAAATATAAAAGCTAAAATGTAGTAATTCTCAATAGTTGTTACTGATTTGAAAACATGCTAAGCAAAAGTTTGAATTTCTCGTAAACCCTCATAAATCTTATATAATTCTTTGAATAACAATATTTATTACCATAACAACATTCTAAGTCAAGGAAAAATTACACATTGAAAATATTGTAATTTTTTCTAGGAGTGCCAATGGTTCAAGCTATGTGTTAGCTCGTGAAAGCTCAACTTATGGGTTATTCAGGCTCATTTTAAACGAGCCTAAGGCCATGCCTAGAGGTGTAGCTTGGCTTGCCAAACAGAGTCCAGAGTCCTAGGCTCAAGGCTAATCTTTAGGTCTACCTTCACGGCTTTTCATCATATTTATGGCTTGATTTTACGTGGTATTTGAAAAACATGAGGAAAGTTTGCCCTCTTATTAAACGAGCCAAACTAAACTCAGCTCGTTGACGGGTGGCGTAAGCCCAGGTCATCCATTGTCACATTCACATTTTTTCTAAGAATAATAACAAGTAAGGCACCCCATCATTCTCAACTGACCCTGACTGAGAATATTTTCACATGAATAAGACGGAATGAGTGTTTGACACCCATTTTATTAGAAAAATGTGTTTTAAATAGTGATTGATGAAAAAATGTGTGGTTAAAAAGTAAGGAGAAGGATTTTCACATGGGAGATAAGGTAATGCACAATTACGAACTCTGTCCTTGATTAGTTCTATAAGTAGGAACTGTGTATTGTGTGGTGAACAGTCTCCAATTTCGCTTATTGCCGACAAAACCTAAATCTTGCAAAAAAATGGTGGAGTACAAAAATATGCATTCTGATGAGAACAAGCATCACAAGAAGAGAAAAATCTTCCTCTTTTTCTCACTGGCATCTTTACTAGTAGTGGCAATTACCGTAGCATCAGTTGTTGGATCCCAGAGGAGCAAAGGCGGTGGTGGTGGCAGCGCAGCCCAAGCGGTGGTGAAATCTACCTGCGCCGCCACATTGTACCCAGAATTATGCTTGTCCACCATCGCAGCAGTGCCGGAGGCTGCCAGCAGAATAAAGAGCAGCAAAGATGTACTGATGACTGCTCTCAACTACACCATTACCACTGTCGGGCACAATTACTTCACTGTAAAGAAACTCGCAGCTAAGCGCAAGTCCCTGACAGTACGCGAGAGGGGTGCGCTCCAAGACTGCCTGGAAATGATAGACGACACACTGGACGAGCTTCATGATTCAGAGAGTGAGCTGAAAAACTACGGTTTGAAGAATTACTCGTTGTCGGATCATGTTGATAAACTCAAGACGTTGTTGAGCGCTGCACAAACTAATCAAGAAAGCTGTCTCGACGGGTTTTCTCACGACGGGGCTGATAAAAAAGTCCGTTCAGCTCTTTTGAAGGGTCAGATGCATGTTTTTCGATTATGTAGCAATGTTCTAGCCATGTTTAAGAACATTACAGATGCGGAAATGGCTGCAAATGGGGATTCTCTTGTGGAGAGGAGGCTTGGAGAGGAAAATGAGCACGAATGGCCTAAATGGCTGTCGGCCGGAGATAGGAGGCTGCTGCAGGCTTCGACTGTGACGCCTGATGTCACAGTGGCGGCCGATGGAAGTGGAAATTACCGGACAATTTCAGCAGCGGTGGCAGCAGCTCCAGAAGGAAGCACTAGGAGGTATATAATTGGGATTAAAGCTGGTGTATATAGAGAGAATGTGGAAATACCGAGGAGGAAGACTAACTTAATGTTCGTTGGAGATGGGCGGACTACCACCATCATCACCGCCAGTCGGAATGTGGTCGATGGCAGCACCACCTTCAACTCCGCTACAGTTGGTTAGTCTTATAATTATTACTTGGCCCTGCTTGTTTGGCATTATTTTTACATAAAAATGAGTTTTTTTACCATTTTTTTCAAATTTGTGGGTCCACCATGAGAGAGATTGGTAAAAAATGGTGGCTAAATCCCTTCTCCAATGGTCAATTTTAATGACTTCAATAATAATCAACGAGTCTTCCTATATGATATTTTGTTATTTGAAGTATTAGCTTGTAATTTGAAGTATTAGCTTGGTAAGAGAATTACAGAAAACTAATATCCTAAATAACAAGTTATCTCATAAAATGACAATAAGTAGATACTTTTTCATAACCTTATCCTGTTGGATAATGTGTCCACAAGACGAAATCAAGTTTGAGGGACCACAAAAACCTAACCAATATATCCTGTTGGACAATTGTTCAGTGTTCTTCCCTAAATAAATCTGCCAGCTAACTCGTGTACTTATTTTCAGACTATTTCTGAATTTCGCATTTATGTCACACGTGATTGGGACTATTGGATATTAGGAAGNGGACCATTGGATATTAGGAAGAAAAATAGTGGTAACATTGCGGAGTCGTGTTGGGGCCAATACTTCTTAACCAACATTAGTTATCTTATGATGTCTTATTTTATGTGCAGCTGTGGTTGGTGATGGATTCTTGGCGAGGGATGTCACATTTCAAAATACCGCAGGGCCATCAAAGCATCAAGCCGTCGCACTCCGGGTGAACGCTGACTTATCCGCTTTCTACAGATGCGACATGCTCGCGTACCAAGACACCTTGTACGTGCATTCACTCCGTCAATTCTATGTTGGTTGCCTCGTAGCAGGCACAGTCGATTTCATATTCGGTAATGCTGCAGTCGTGATTCAAGATTGTGACATCCACGCACGACGTCCCAATTCTGGCCAGAGAAATATGGTCACTGCTCAAGGCAGGGATGATCCAAACCAAAACACTGGTATAGTTATCCAAAAATGTAGGATTGGGGCAACTTCAGATCTCAGGCCTGTTATAGGGAGTGTTGAAACATATTTGGGAAGGCCTTGGAAGGAATACTCGAGGACTGTCGTTATGCAATCTGACATAAGCAATGTTATACATCCAGCAGGGTGGTACGAGTGGAATGGCAATTTCGCGCTGAACACGCTATTTTATGCCGAGTATCAGAATACTGGTGCCGGTGCTGGAACGTCAAACAGGGTCACATGGAGGGGATTCAGGGTGCTCACTAGTGCGGCCGAGGCCCAACCTTTTACTGCCGGGAGATTTATCGCGGGCGGAAGTTGGCTAGCGGCAACTGGATTTCCATTTTCTCTTGGTCTTTAATTTCGATTCGGTGTTGGGCATTTTATCTTATTGCGTATTATGAATAAATTGGCTGCAATCTAATGATCTATGCATATCGAAATAATGTTCGATAGTATAATTCAATTCTCATTCTCATTTATTTGATTCTCTTTTGTGATTCGGTACAATCCAAAGGACTCTCAAAGGCCAAGATCCTGGTTACACAAGCTTGCTTCTACATTTTTGAAGAGTTTAATTATTGAACTACTGTCATTATAAATAGTAGTTGTAATTGAAAATAAAGTTCTTTTAAATATTTTTCTAACCCAAAGACCTTGACATGCAGAATATGTTCAAAAGTACTTGTCCTCCGTTACCAAGTTCTCCAGCATGAGTAAGGTCTTTTCACTTTTTTGATTGACTTACAATCAAGGAGCGCTAATCCTTATACAATGTTGAGTTTTATGGGACTTCAACACGATCCACAAATTTAATAAGAAAGTGATTTTACAATTTAAAACTTATCTCTTAATAAATGATATAATCAAATTAAGTACAAAGAGAGAAATAAGCTAACACTTTAAAAAATAACAATAAATGAAACTCAAGTGTTAGGTGAGAAAAACTTTGATGAGTAAAATTATTTTCAAAAGTTAATTCGATCAAAATCTTTTCAAAGTAAATGATTTGAAAAAGATAAATTAATGTAGCTTTGTTCAAGAATATCTCACATAAAGGCTCTTAAAAGTGTTGTATTGAATGTAAAGTGAAGTTGTATTTATAGCAGTCGAAAAGTCAAAATTTCTAACCAACTGGATGTCGGCCTACTAAACCGGATAACTAGCCGTTGTGCATAAAAAATTAGAACGATTAAAATTTTGATCGTTGGATGAACTAGACGTTCGTCAGTCCAACCGGACGTCCGATATGATATAATTTTTTCGTATTTTTCTTTTCTTGATTATTTTAACACGTGTAGGCTTTGAAAAACATATTCACCAACGTTTTAAAATGAGTGTTATTGGTAAAAGATTTAAAATCAAGTGAAGATTTTTATCACCTAGAAAATAATTTTTATACGAACATTTTTATGCATATTTATCTAGTACATAAAAAATTAACTTATGAGCTTTCAAGATCCATTGCTAAAGATTAAAACATTTTACCTTTACACATGGATTCAAAGTATCTAAGTCTAATATCCTTAATGAGTACTTGATTCGACTTTCGAATGATTTGACGTGCATGCTCGACTTTCATCTCAATTTTCTTTGATCGTAAATTGCAAGTCTTTTGATGGAAATACTTTTGTTTTCAATTGATCAATTTTGATCACAATAGCTATGAAGACTTGAATTCAATTGTTAGAGATAAAACAACTTGTTTGTTATAATCAAGACCTGAGATCAACCGAAGGTCAACAATTTTCTCCCTTTTGATTATGAAAAATAAGATGATTTGCATGATATGACTGAACAATTGATATCATATTGATATCAGATAATTTGTATTCCCCTTGTCTTTTACAAATTAATAGCCATACGTTCAAAGTATATAGGTGATTTTCCCTCTTTCCCCCTTTTCCATACACTCCAAGCATTTGTTAAATCAAATCATGTAAGATCATGCATAATCATCTCAATGAAAGCACATAGTATTTGCATACACTGAGTGAGCTAGTATAGCTACGTGGGAAATGGATATAGACCACCTTCATTGCTGCCTTCGAGTAATGTGTTCTCCATCAATGTGTTCTTCACAAAAAATGAAATTTAGTGAGAATAAAGAAACATTTGTTGTCAATGCAAAACTGATTAATGGAGGGAGATTGGCTGCGGCATTAGGAAGTTTGGGGTGAAATTGATTATAAGTTGTTGAAGCTGTGTTATCTATGAAGATTATGTTGATATGTTGGGATTCCGTATTGTTCTCCGTCAAGCATTTCGAAAAAATCTCAAAATACATCGACTTCTCTTCTACAAAATCCGTCTTTCAGAATTTGAGAGAAGATCGTTGTGAAGAACTTTTTGACAAAGTGAGAAGCTTTTGCTCACGAAAACATATTGATATTCTCGACTTAAATTGTTTGTGACTCGTTGATTTTATTGCAAATTTGATGTAACAATGATATGATGACGTCTTTTGCTACGCATTTCAATCAAAGTTCTCATTTAGTTTAGTATTTGTTGTACATTTGTAACTCTTTTTATTACATCTAACTCGATAACATTAAGGACGAGAGATGCGTAACAAAAATTTCAGGAATGTCTAGTCCAATGTAAGATCACAAAATTTTATAACATATTCAGCATGGTGAAGTAGTACACAAGCTTATTTTTCTAAAGTGGGGGACCAACTTGGAATTCAAAAAAAAATTAGGACCAAAGTGCAAATTTCAAATATTTATATATAAGAAATTTTAATTTCAACGACGAATTTTTTATCATAAAAGGTTGTTTTTGAATTATTTTGTCGAAAAAAGGTTGTTGAGAGACTTTTGATGATTTTTTTATAGCTGGAATTGAAATTTCTTCCATAATAATTCAACTTTGAATTTTAACTCAAGATAATCAACTTCACAAGATATAAGCTAGCAACTTATGTTATTGTTGACACACTAAAAGTGCAACCCAAATTAAATGGCCCAAAGAGCGAAACCCGGTTGAGAATCCAAGATGAAAACCCAAGCAAATGGTAAAAAGCCCACAAACAAAGGAATGCCGTCGCCTAAGCTTGCAGAACGCCCAGATGTTGAGAGAATAAAATACCCTATGGACGCCCAGAGCGAAGCAGTTGTCGCCCAAATTGCTGGTTCGCCCAAAATCCTAGCAATGACTAAACCCTGTCGTTATCTAAAAGTCACGATTTGAGGCGGGTTGAGCACATCACGATTACATCCCACGATTTGAGAAAATTAGTGACAATCGGTTATGAATAAAAAGTGGTGGTAGGAGTTACAAATGGTAGTTATAGGCCAGTCAGACACTATGAAAGAAATGGGTAGTTTCGAGCAGAGTCCAAACGGTTGAGAACCGCCCAAGGAGTATAAAAGGAAGAGGAAAGCAATCAAGAAGCCCCGACAAAATTCAATCTCAAACAGAGAATATGTAATTTACTTTTTCTTAGATTAACTTTAATTACTTCAATTTCCTTGTACTTGTGTGCTTGCGTCCCTTGGAGGCATCTTGTTCGTATCCAAACTGTAATCTTCNTTTGTTTTTTTTTTTTTATTTATTTTTTTGTTTTTAGTTTTAATATTTATTAGATTTTTTTTTTTATTTAAAATTCTTTTTAATTCTTAATTTTCTATTTTTTATTATTTTCTTTAATTTATTATTTTTTATTTTTGTGAAGTGCGTGACGCTAACTCATATATAATTCTTTTAACATATTTTATGTTTCTTTTTTCAAAGCTAACCACAAGATAGTTCATAGGATCATTCCGGACGCCTATAAGTGGTTTCATGACATCACGACTTCGGGAGGTTGGCTCATCGACTATTTAAGTGTGATATCGCAAAAAAATATTTATTATGTACTCATAATTTTTTTGTTTATTAGATTAAATAACTTCTATTTTTTTTTATCGGTGTTTCTTGATGTAGCATATCGACCTAGCTATGGACTTGTTGCGCGATCGAGCTCAAAGATATCCGAGATATCATTCGACATACCTGACTGAGTCATATTAAGTATCGAGTTCCAACGTACCGTTACCATTGAGTATCGGTCGCTCCAACTTATGGGTAATGAGTATACAGTGCCCGACTATATGCTCGAGTGGGCATATGAATGTGGCCAAGTGTTGGAGAAAAGTCATGGGGAGAGTTGTACACATATGTTGATTCCAGTGATCACGAATCTTCACTGATTCCACTATATATATGTACGACTCCGATCATTCCTATCTGACACGAGTTCAACTAGAGTTTCACCGGGAGCTGGTGGCTGTGATGGTTCCTTTGATGGCTAGATGAACATGGGTGATTATGCAGGACAGACTAGCCATCGTGAGAGACACGACGATAGTGAGACAGTCAAAATCGTAAGTACTTATAATTTTTTAATTTGAAAACTTAGGTGGCGTTCTCTTTGCCGTTTTCAAGCCGTTTTCTGTTTTCGATTTTTCAAAACGGTGAAAACGCGTTCTCTTCGTCATTTTCAAAAACGGATTTTCGAAAATGAAAAAAAAAATTGTGAAGAAAACAGGAAACGGCCAAAAAGCCGTTTTCCACGTTTTCTTCACAAATGTAGCTGAAAATGGAAAACACGGGAAATGCCCAAAACGATTTCCTCCTTTCTGCTGCAATACAGAACAAACCCCTTCCTCCTTTCTGCTGCAACCACACTCTACCGCCACTTTCAAACCCCCCAAACTCCTACCAACCTCCTCCAAAATGGCCGGATTAATAAACCACTGTGAAGCCCTCAATCCCCTCTTCAATTACCACACAAACAACAATCAGTCATACAACAAAATCGAAGGAAAAAAAAACCTAAAAAACTGATTCAGCACACGTGGCTTCTGCAGGAATCAGCCAGTTCTGGAGCCAATCGAAGGTGACCCATGGTAGTATTGGATGCTCCTTGTTGAGAGGAGTGGATTGGTGGTGGTCCGCGATCGGAAATGTGGCCGGCGGCGGTGTTTATTGGCCGAAACCGCGAGTGGTAACGCGACGATTTCGGCTGATTTTGGCTGATTTATGGTTAATTAATCCGTGGATGTTGTAGAGGGAGGTCAGGGGGTTGGAATGATGCTGGGATCTGGTGGTCTAGGTGGTGGGTTGTGGTCGGTTTGTGAGGTAGAAGGCTGTGGCGCTGGTGGAGGCGTGGGGCGATTTCTGGCTGGAGAATGGAAAACAAAAACCCATGTGAACGTGTTTTGAGAAAACGATTTTGAGGAATAGTTTTACAAAATGCCAAAAAGAACGCGTTTTCAAAAATTTTAAAATGGACTCTCAAAACACAAAATACAAAATGATTTCAAAACTCAAAACGCAAAATTGAAACACAAAGAGAACGACCCCTTAGTTTTTAGC